CCCCAAAACCCCAAAACCCCAAAACCCCAGGAAAAAAAGATAAATGTTTTTAGTAAAAATGTTAAAATTCTTAATAAAAAACAAGAATGTAAAATTAGAATTATGAAAACGAGTAGGATAATCTAGATATCAATTAGTAAGAGGGGCCTGACTTTGTAGAAAATTAATTAGAAGAATCAGTTTTAGATTCAGAATTCGCTAAAGCATGATCCCTATTCAAGAGATCTCATGGGTTTTAGCTTCCCTTGAATTGCCAACAAATCTTTTCTTGGTTTTACTATTCTAGCCAAGTCATTTATTACTTCGTAATAATAATTCCGATAACGTGGGAATATAATGAAGAAATATTAGCAAAATTTTCAGTTGCAGTTTACGTATTTGCAAGTGCATTGGTCATTTTATTATCTTTGAAACTCACCCTCTCAGATCCGACCGATCCTTTAGTATTAGAATCGAAAAGGAGAATCTTAACTACTGTTAATTAAGATAAAAATAGTCTGGATGATCGGAAACATCGAAAAAGAGCTTTAATCTGCCAAATATGTGAGTCATCAGTTTTCGATAGTTCAAAACATTGTGGGGTTTGTAACCGATGTACTTATTAATTTGATCATCATTGTAACTGGTTGAATAATTGCATCGGTGGCCAAAACTATAGGATGTTTGTGACTTTAGCTTCAGTTTTATTTTTACAGTTAGGTTACAGTTTTGGAATGACAATTAAGATCTTGAAACATCTTAATTAGCTTGACTCTGAAAATTGAGATGATATAGAAACTCAAAGTAATTTAAGAATTTTTCATTACTTTTAAGGTGATAGTCGGAGGAAAAATACCAGTTTATATAGCATTTTCATGGGTAGCATTAGTCATATCAATTCCTGCATTAGCTTTCATAGTATACCTATTGACATTTCACATTTGGATCAATATCCAAGGATTTTCTACTTTTGACTACATTATCTGGAGAAGAGAGAAAAAATAGAACTAATAAAAACTTAAGGTAAAATCTTAATCATTATTAAAATTTGAAGGATGGTCTTATGACTGAGTAAGAGTTTAAGAATTGGTTGCAATCTTCGAACCCTAAGAATCTAAAAAAGAAATCAAAAGTTATTGTTGAGGTTCATGATGGTGATGAAGAGAGAAATTTCAATGGAGAATTTCTATACTCTCAGAGTAAGGATTATGAGATGGGGGATGCTTTGCCTAATTAAGAAATAGACAATATATCAATGATGAATCACTAGAATCCGTTTAGATAGTTAACTTAATAAAACAATAATAATTTGGATTATTAGCGAAACCCAGAGTTAGAGAGAATTAATTCAAACAAGTCTTCAATCATTCAGCTTTTTAATAGCCAATCTAAGTTAAAAGAGATAGAAGATGAATATCAAAGATAAGATCATAAAAATAAAGTTAGAGATAAAGATGCTGAAAAAAGTAATTGGTGCTGCTGGTAGAATAGAAAGAAAAAACTCAGGGTAAATAATGCTTTAAATTAATTTAACTTTAGAATCAGATATAGATAGAAGAATATGAATAGAATATAGGAGACCCAATTCAACAAATGCATAATTTTATCACTCATAATCAAAAGACAAGTAACGGCTTAATGAATCATTAGGGTGTTAACAAGGATTAGTTTTTCAAAGGAGAAACACCTTCATAATCGCAGGATGAAATAGGGCTCAACATTGGAGATAAGATAACTCCTAATTCTTACATCATTTAAAATCAAAACTAGAATACAATCTTCAATGGATAGACTATTGATTATAGAAACTTTGATGATCAGATTTAAGTCTCAGCCTATCAAGAGATTGTCGACACTTAGATCAAAGATATAAAGAAGACTTAGCTATAATTCAAAGACACTAAAATTCAGGTGCTTTAATCAAAGGATGTGATAAACAATGAGTAAATTGGACTTGGATTAAAAAATCAAACATTCTAAATCATTAGAGATGCTCAGTTAGCATATTACGAAATAAAGGGGAGGAAGTCTAAGCATTCATAAACTCTCAAGGATGATGTGCTGATGTTTTAAGCAGTTTAGAAACGAAGCCAAGATGGAATTCAAACTTTAAAATCAAAGAGTAGACTTGATAGGTCACAGAGACGGTAAAAAACATTGAGTGGACCGTTTGAACTCAGTCCACTAAAGAATAAGGCAAGAAAATCATCTAACTATCATAACGATTATTAGGATATAAATATGGAAAGCATTTTAGATGTTAAGTTTTAAAAACAGAATTCTTCTGAAATAAGTTACAACAACCAGCATCAGTTGCGCAATGATAGCAGGAACTCCAAAGATTAAAAGGTAGGCTCTCACAGATACTAGAATGATGAATAAGATAAAGCTAAATATCATTCAAAGACAAATTCTATTTAAAATTCCCTAAGAAACCAGTTGAATTAGAAGTAGCCCAATAAATAAACAATTAATTCCAGTCCCTAAGAAAAGCTAAAGGCCATGACTTAGTCTAAAAGTATAGACTTTACTATGAACTAGGCAATAGATGAAAGTATTAAGGTTTAGTTAGCTTAGAAATAAGTATTTATGAACAAAAAGATCATTCACAGAAATAATAATATAGTCAGTATTGGCTAGGATGAGGATATTCAGGTTGGATTCTATTAAACGAGAAGATTAGATGGAGGTAATATGAGTGTTTCTCATGAGGAAACTTTGATAATAGATGATCCAAATGGGTATATAGATTTCTAAATAGATGGCTAAAAACGGAGAAATCAGCATTAGTATATTAGCAAGAATCATTAAAATGCATTATCATTTGACTAGTCCTTTGAGAAATAGCAATATTAGGAGTTTAAGCAAGCTATAAATATCAAGAAAAAGGCTTTCAAGAAACAATAGTCCAAATTGCAAGGAACAAAAGTTCAAAGGAAAATTAATCAGCAAATATTGGATAATGTTTTTATGTAAGATGCAGAGATAGAAAATACTAGTCATCTCAAAGACAATGAAGTCAAGATTTTTTCAGCAACAAAGCATTAAAGCGATATAAGCAGTAGATCTCTTGAGGGATTTAGGAAAGATACTTAAAATTGAATTATCTAATCAAAAGTACAATGACTTTGTTGATTTTTATTAACAATATACTTTAAAGTTCTATTACTTGAGTGTTTCGGGGTTTTGGGGTTTTGGGGTTTTGGGG